TTTATCTCATCATGGGTTTTACTTTGCTTTTTCCTGGAGACAAATGACATTGCAATTTTAAAATACATTTTTTTATTATCTGTATGTCTTCTCTCTCATGAAATACCTTTTCAAATATTTTGCTTATATTTTTCTTTCTTTTCTCTTTTTTGGTAGGGGGATACTCTATCACTGAGCCATATCCCCAGCCCTATTTTGTATTTTATTTAGAGACAGGGTCTCCCTGAGTAGCTTAGTGTCTCACTTTTGCTGAGGCTGGCTTTGAACTCGTGATCCTCCTGCCTCAGCCTCCCAAGCTGCTAGGATTATAGGTGTGCACCACTGCGCTCAGCCTTGCCTATATTTTTGCTGTTTATTTTACCTTTCAGTGAGTTTTGGGGTTTAAACAAAAATTTTTGTTTACAGGTCCTTTGTTGAATAAGTGATTTACAAATTTTCTTCCAGTGTGTGGTTTATATTTTCAGTCTTTTAACAATGTATTCCTTAGAACAAAAAAAGGTTTTTAATTTGATGAAATCCAACTTGTTAAGTTTTGTTCAATGAATTATGTTTTTGATGTGATATCTAATAACTCTTTACCTAACCAATGATCATAAAGATTTTTCTTCCTCAGTTCCTTCTAGAAGTTTTACAGTTTTATGTTTAACCTATAGGTCAATGGTCTAGTTTGAGTAGATTCCTTTTTTAATGCTAAAATGTTTTCAGTTTCATCTTCTAATCTTTGGACTGGTTTTGCTATGTCTTTGAGAAAACATCTAAGAGCCAAAAATATTTATGACTTAAGCAGTATTTTAAAAGTTCCTTGTGTCTCTTAACCAAACATCTTAGTGAATTTTCTGTTTGCTCTAACAAAATACCTAAAGATACATTAACCCCCTTTAAGGACAGCAAAACAATAACCTGTTCATTTTCTAGGTCCCATGCCTTAAAGGTTCTACTGCCTCTTAATGTGGCAATACTGAGGAACCAAGTCTCTAAAATATGAATAACCAAAGTCTCTAATATATGAATAACCAAGTCTCTAATATCTGACCAACCAAATCTGAACCCTGGGACCAACTAAAGTTGATATATGTTCTTCCAGCTTCAACATAAATTTAAATTTCATTAACCACAACAGCATCTGCATACATTTGAAAAGTATAGTATGTGGATATCCAGGTATTTAGTGTCTAGCTTACGCTCAGGGCTTTGCAGATGGAGAAGTCTTCGCAATAATTCTGCCCTCCTGTGGTCACGTGCTGGTTTGCCATCCACAGATCTGCATCAATCTCTTTCTTTTAAAGATAAAGAAGCAGAGGTTCAGAAGGAATCAGCTTCCTTATCAGGGTCAAACAGAGAGTTGGTGGCCCAGCTAGTCTGGAAGCTGAGTCTCCGGGATTCTGGTCCAGCACATGTTCCGTGACTGTGCTTATGACTGTTGGAAATGGCCTCTAGTTGCTAGAAAGTGAGTCTTCACTACAGTAACCATTCCTCTGAACTAGGCCTTGCATTATACAAGTTCTTTGAAAGGATGGGCCATGTTTTCTAGACCATGAATGCCCAGTTTTGCACATCCATTGCCGTCTTCCCAACATTGTAATTGGGCAGCTGTGGAATCAGTGCTTGTTGAGCCAACAGCTCCTTCCAAGCTGGTATGTACGGAGGCCCCATCAATATCAGTTCCATCTCCTTTGCCACTGATGGAATAAAAATCCTGTTTGTGAAATGCAAAAGCTCCGCCCAATGAAAAGTGAAAACAAAACTCACCATTAAATATGAGGGTCAATTGTTCTTGGTGGAGCCTAGACTTGTGTTGCAGTTGTAGAAATGTTTGCAAAGTCAGACTTGGACTAGTCTCGGAGCCAAGCATGTTATCCAAAGAAGACAAAATGGAAAGAAGTGATCTTTGCAGCAGCTTGTGGAAATGAAGTAATATACTCAGCTTTCTTCATGCTGATATTTCTTTTAGCTCTGGTCCTTTGTACTACAATCTGCAAGTTGTCATATGTTTCTTGTGAAAACTGCCTTTTTATTCCTCAAAGCTGTTCTTTACAATTTTAGCCACTACTGTGGTGGCATGGATCCCACAAAGGCCTTGTGGGGGAGGACAGAGGGGAGAGCTGGGGTCACCTCACCCCAGCTTAAGCATCATGTCTTCAAGCGGAATTCAATCAGGATCACGCCAATAAATGTCTTTTGTTTCCTTCTCTTCCAAACACCCCAGGCCACAGCTTCCTGCTTGCTGCTGGCATTTTAATCCCCTGCTTGGCATTGCCTCGTGCTCTTGGCACAGTATGAATGACTCCTCTCATCCCCTACCCCCACCCCAGGCTTGGGCTCTGTCATCTGTGGCTATCATTGCAGAGAGGCCCATGAAGGCCCTGGAGGTGAACTGAAGTCAAGTGGCATTGCCTGTGCCCTGACCCTGTCCAGTACATGGACACCTTGGAACTAAGGATCCTCCTCTGCTTTCCCTGGTCTTTACAACCTCACAACCAGTATTTTTTTTCCCCAAGTGCTCCTCAGACCATCCCAGATCTCCTTCTGTTCTATCTATCTCTACCTCCCAGACCCACCCCATCAACATTTACCTACCTCTTTGAGACCTTAGATGTTCTAACATTTAACATTGCTTCAACATGGTCCTACCCTAAGCAAAGCTTGGCCCCATCCTCTTTCTCCTTGCGGTAATCTACCTTCCCATCTTGTTACCCCTCTCTGGTCTGTCCTCGGATATCCAGTGCCCTGTGCAGCAGCCTGATTATCACTCAGGATGGACCACCTCCTTCTGCTTTTCCTCTGCTTCTGGCAGGGGAACATTGAATCAGCTAAGACACACTGATACACTAAAGGTTATCACTTGTCACATATACCCAACACAGGGATTTTTTTTTTTTGAGAAAAAAAAAAAAAAGATGTTTTCAATACAAACAAAATAGCCTCTAACTATAGAATCTGACACTGAGCCAGTAGCGGGAAGCTATTTCCAAGCAAATTATACCAGTGTTCTCTGCTCTTCTTCTGGCTTCAGAGCCACCATCAACACAAGAGCCAGGAGACTCACTGTTGCCCCACCGTACATCCACCCCCGCGAAAAGCCTCACCACTGCCCACTGCCAAAGAGTCGTCAGGACAAATTCCATCATGTCTTCCATGCTCATGTCTGTGGATCTCTATAGAAACCCCAGGCAGGACCATTCTCTCAGACTCCGTACCCCTGACCCTAACCCAGTGTGATGTCATCCTGCCTCTCAAAGCCTTTCATTTGAGCCATTATTGTCAGTTAACCCCCAGTTAATCCATATCAGAGGATTAATGCACTGATTAGGTTAAGGCTCTCATAGCCTGATGATTTCACCTCTAATTTCCTGCACTGTCTCCCACATGAGCTTTGGAGGGACACTTCATAGATAAACTATAACATATTCCTATTATGTTTTTTGTCCAGCACCATGTTCTACCCAGACTGCTCATATCAGGGTTATCGATGATGACCATGTTGTCAAAACCATGCTGGTTTTCCAGTCCTTGTGTTTTTGGTCTATTAGTGACATCGGACAGTGCCAATTACCCTTTCCTTGAAACTCTTCTCTCAGTTGCTTTCAAGATACCACACCTTTCTATTTCTCTTCTTTTCTTTTTGGTCACTCCTCCTTGGGCTCTTATGATGTTTCCTACTCTTAGGCTTGACCTCCAAATACTGTAGGAGCTGACAGCCCAAACGTTGACCCTCTTTTTGTCTCTGCTTATACTGACTCCCTTGGTGATCTCATTCAGTTTCAAGCAGCAAATACCATCTCCAAGATGATGGTGGCCATATTTATATGGTCTTCTTCTGGATATCTCCAGGGTGCATTCCATCATTCCCTGGAAGTCTCAGCTCACATTTCACCTTACAGAGAAAACAAATAGTGCTGTATTCTTAATAAAACAGTGTTGCTACCCCTGCTCTCTATCCCCTTACTACATTTATTTTTCTACATAACTCTTTTCTCTCTCTGATACACACTTAGAAGTATATTGAAAACCTTTTATAGACAGGAACATTGTCCATCTCCTAGAGTGTGTTGCACATAGAAAGCTACCAATAAGTGGCTGTTGAATGAAAGCATGATCTCATTCAGTCCTGACAACACCCCAATAATCCTATTAGAAGGATTATTACAGATGAACAAACAGCATTAGATTAACCCACTGTTCCACAGCTGGCAATTCAGGCAGACCGACTCCAGAGTGTGACTACCTAGCATGCTGGTAGAAGCCAGAGGATCCTTGGAGTCCAGAGACATGGATACTTTTATTGGATACAGAGTTTATCTTGAGGACAACAGAGAACATTGTGGGAGGTAGGGGTAGTGACATGGCCTTGGTAAGGAGTTGACGCCATTGAAAATATACATGTAATTGTGTGTCTCCAGTTCTTAGGTCACTAAATCATGCTAACTCAGAGACTACTTTGGTACTTCATTGGAAAGTTTAGGCCAACAGTATATTTTATACTTTGCAAACATCAAACTGGCTTGTACTGACAATATTTAAGTTCGATTCAGTTAAAAGCTTCAAAGCAACTTTACCTTGAGGTCTGTGAAATTGAAAACCTTTCTTGCTGTTTCCATAGCAGTCTGATGGTTGATATAATTCCTAAAGAAGCTTATATGCTAAGGCCCAAGAACCCTTCATTACATTCATGAGCTACTGACTCAAAATGCCATGACTTGAGCTAGATAGACTAGTGAAGTATTATGCCACTTAAAGAATATATTATAATTCAAACTATAATTAAAGAAGAGAAAGTTTCAAAAAATCTGATTGAATGAACCTTTTAAAAATGCATATTTGAAATATTTGACTTCTTTAAAGTTTGGGCTCCATGGATGCTGACCTTTCAGGGCCCTCACATAAGGGGATTAGAAGATGTAAGAGATGTTTTCATGCAGGAAGTAGATGTGTTAGGTTAATAGATGCTAAAATCCACCATGTTTCCATAAAAAAATGAACTGCCATTTTCTGTTTTAAAGGGACCCAACTGTTCACCCTCCGATACCTCCAAAGCCCAGATCTCCTGTTCCTTCTCCTAACCAGCTGAGACCAGATAATAGGTAAGAACTGGCACTGCAGACTTTATTGCCAAAATGAAGTTCAAGGGAAATGGGAGTAAATGATCTGGGATCCACTTTGTGCCAGAGGTGAGGATGTTTTGCATGCACATTCACAAGTGAAGCACATAGAACTTTTCCTGATTTTATCTGTTAACATGCTTGTGTATTTATGTTTGCTTTTGGATGCTAATTCCTATTACTTGTCTTATGGAGATGCACTTTCGAGATAAAAATGGAACAATATATTCATGTTCATGTATTTGTGCTTAGGCTTCTTATATGTTAGCTTCTAATATTCACATAATGATGTATGTATGTACTTGGCATATATATTATATACATATACACTTATAAACCATATTAAACTATATGTATACATATTTGATTGATATTTACTCCTAGTTGAGTTTCCCATTAGAAGCTCTATAATCTGATGAAAGATGTCCTTGAAACTTTGTGTTACTACTGAAATCCTCAATTATGTTAGAAATACCTTTTGGGATTGCCTTTTATTTTTTCTTAGCTAAGAAGGATAGTTTAATTCAAAACTCTCAAAAAATTTGAAAAATATTTGTATTAACTTGTCTCTGAAGAAGAAAAAACAGAGACGCTTTTTTCATGTGAACCTGTCACTCTGTAATTAATAATTAGAAACATATTCAGAGATTTAAAATCTTCCCAAGTCTTCCTGTTCAATTGCTTAATAATCGTGAACCATTTTCAAAACTTGCATTCCACATTTCCATTATTATTATGAGATTAAAAATGATATCAGTGAAGACTGAATACATTAGACTTGCCTTTGATTCTTTAGTATTTTTGCTTTTTGATGGTGATTTTTCTGACACCATGTAAGACACAATTGTAGAGCTGTTCTTCAAAAAGTCACAGCTGCAGAACTTCAGTAAGAGCGTGACTGGCTGGAAGTGCCCACCATGAAGCACCTTAGGTGTTCATCCTGTTGGGATAAAACTCCAGATCTGAACTTCTCTCCAGTGGAATTCCACCGGATCTTTGAAATTTTGCCCTCAGGATGAGAGCATGTGTATTTTCTAATGAGTTAAGAGAATATCTATCCAACAAACCAGTTAATAATATGGATTAGATGTGTAACTCTTCATTTGTTCAATGGTTATAATTGTCCCATTAAAACAGCTTCTCAGACTTTTTCTCTTACCCGATTATTTTTCTTTTACTCTTATATAAAAGAAGTATTGAGCAATTAAATCTTAATGTAAATAGGATTTTTTAAAAACCCAAAGAAAATTGCCTTGTACCACCTAAATTCTAATCTAAAAATCAGCAACACGTAGTTAACTTTAGATTTTCCAAAGAAGCTAAATTTCACAGGAATTGGTCTAGTCAATTTTTACTACTCAAATCTTTTTCTTCCATAAATGATCTGAAAAAATAAAATTGGGACAACTTGCATGTTTTTTTTTAAAGGCTGATTACTTTAATCACAGCAAGATGATTTTAATGAAAGAATATGAAAGGGAAGTGTTTCCTATGTAATTAACACATGTCCTCAGGAGAACAAAAAATAGTTGAATACAGCTCCTTGAGAGCAAGCAAGCGTGTATAAGTAGGTCAACCAGATACTGAGAAGAGCAGAGAAAAGCCTGATGTCATAAATTGTGACAGAAGCTAGCACTGTAAAATTTGATGCTGTCAGCTCAATGGGGCCATTCTCATCGGGGTAGTTGCATTTGAAATATAGACTTATTTCCTGTCTTGTCCAAGCAAATGTATTTCTTGACAGTTATCAGATGGGATAAGTCTTCAAGGAAAACATCATCCCTTTGATGCTTAATAACAAAAAATATTCTTAATATTTTAAAATGTTATTTCATTATCTAATGGAGATATGTATGAAAGTGCTTTGACGAACAGAGACCAAAAGAGTGAACATGAACATATGTAGAACAGATATTTCTAAACACACCTTGTTGTACAAAATATATTAAAACAAGGTGAAATTATAAAATTAGTATATTGGTGTCTTTACATTTTTTTTTCATTTTTCTATTGGTGTTATATAATTATACATAATAGTGGATTATTGTTTCATATTCATACATGCACATGATATAACAATATAATTTGATCAATATTATATGTATTTTTGTACTCTCTAGAAACTTTCAAACAGGAAATAGTTGAGTTGCTGCCAACCCAAAGAACTAGGGTAGAGTTTGCTATGTTAAGTAGCAATATGATTCCAACATATACTACTCATTTTGACACAAATATTTCCTTCTGTTAAATTTAAATTTAACATAGAAATGTTTCCTTACCTAACAGACATTATCTTTAAATACAGGCAGATATGTCCACCTAAACCAGGTGTCTATACGGAAACCAGCAGATCTGTTGAAAGAAATATAAGGTACAATGGTCTCTGTCTATACAGATATAATTGTAGCAGTGGTAAAATATGCTTTCTTAGTACACTCCAAAAATATGAAACAATAATAAAAGATAAAATTAATTTTTCTGATGGCTTTAATATAGTGGATAATAAATGCTTTTATAGTACTTACAGAATTTTGATCCTTATATTTCTTTTTTTTAAGTATTTTTTAGTTGTAGTTGACACATAGCTTTATTTAATTTATTTGTTTTTACATGGTGCTGAGGATCAAACCCAGGGCCTTGCACGTGCTAGGCGAGTGCTCTACCACTGAGCCACAACCCCAGCCCCTGATCCTTGTATTTCAATCCTAAACTTTACATTAAGCAAACAACCAGAATGTCTTGAGCATAGTAACAGAGTAAGATCAAATCTCTTGAAGCTTGTTCACTTTGGTAGTCCTAGCACTTGCCCCCGGGTCTGTGGCATAGTTAGTGCAGGTATATGAATGAATAGCCAGAAACATATCATTTGGTTGAACTTGTACTACGAGAGCTTTAGTAGTATTTGCGATAGAAAGTCAAGTCCAGCTCGCCCTGCAGCATAAGGAACAGGCTCACAAATTGTGTTGATTCCTTTGGGTAGGGTGGCATTTCCCAAATGCCTGGCATCTCCAGGACAGTCTTGATTGACACCTATTGTTTTGCACATCCTGTCTAGTTTAACATGTGTTCTAGATTGTATCTTGTCTGCTTATTTTCTTTTTTTAAGGAAAAAAAATACTGGTTTTAAAATACTTTTTGAACAATGCTATTTTTATAGGTACTTCAACATTGTAAACCAATTTTCAGTTAATAATTTTTTGAGAGATTTTTAAAGTTCCAATTTATAAACTTTTTTTCAGTATTATCTCTCCTTTGATGCTCAGAAGAGTCAGGTTTGAGACACCCACCACACAGATACCTTACCTCTCGGAGAATCATCTTTTCCTTGCACCTAGGAACTTAAAGTGCAACTCTCTGCATTTCCCTAAACTGTGTTCCCTTTGACACAGATGTCAATGCATTTTCTGGAAAGAAAGAGTTGAATGGTCCGGTACACAAGGAAACAATGAGATAGTGTTCTCTTAATTAGGACTTTCTAGAACCTTCAGCATGCCTGTGTGAAATTTGAATCACCTAAAGTAGGTTACATTTTCTAAACTTAGTTGATGAGAACATTTTTTTTTTCTTCATGCAACCATATTAGCCCTCTATGAGACATTTGTGAAAATGCAGGTCTTAATTATAGGTGAAACTATAAGGACTAAATTATTCCTTTCCATGATCCAGGGAGGTCAGCCTGGATCTAAGCCTTTTGTGTCTCAGGTGCTTCTACCAATAGTTTAAGTGTCTTTTCTTTCCCCTCTGAAACACTGAGATGACAGATATTTTCACCCTGTTTGAGAGACTCATTAATTGTTCAGACCTGTTGGTTAATGCTCCTTGGATCTGGAAGAAAGACTTCTGAACTTGGCTTCTGTTTTTCCTTGTGCTGTAACTGCATTTTCTTTTATATGCCCTTTTTAACGTGTGGAGCTTGAGAACCAATAGAGGGATTTCCAGCACCTAGGTGAAATGACATTGCGTAGGCTACAGACGTGCGTGTGTGTGTGTGTGTGTGTGTGTGTGTGTGTGTGTGTGTTGTGAGCTGATATGATAGCACCGTTTTTATTCTGCACAAGTCAGTAATTCCTGAACAACACATGTACTACAACTTTCTGCACTAGAAACAGTTGCGAAATGTTAGCTCCTTCAAAGCTCACTCCACTGCCATTGACCTGTGCCTCTTCCCATTGTTTGAAGGAGTCAGGATCATCGCGATAACATCGACAAGGTGGCCACATCAATGGGGAAAACTGACAAGGGGTGAGTGGTCTGAGAGCTCACAAGCTGTGTCAAAAACACCTCGCCAGTACCTTGAAAATGTCCAAACATGAACAAAACCTCGGAGCTTTTTATTAAGTATGATTTCAAAGAAGAATAATTGAATAATAGATGATGGTGGCATTTATGGACACTCTTCTGCTTCCTCTTCTGCTAATTTTACCTGTTCTTATGACCTCAGCCACCACATCTCATTCTAAATCTCCAGTCCTTTATTTATGTTGTTGGCCCAGATCTCTACTTATCAGTCTCCCCAACATCCCATTTAAGATGTCCTAGGCTGCATTCAATTTCCTTCCCAAAGGTGCTATTTCCTGACTTCTGTTCTTTAATTTCTGTAGGCTCTCCTTTGTGAAATCATTCTTGATTATTTCATCCCTTACCCCCTTCATGTAGTATAGACAGGTATGAATTAAATATCAAATGCTTCCGCTGCATTGACGGTTTCTCCCAGTTCAATCCCTCATCGACTGCTGCATAGTGGTTAGAGTGGTTGGTCAGATTTACTTATGCTACTCAGTCTCTCCTGCCTCTGAACCATGACTGCCCATCAGTGCCAGAGATTTTTTTTTTCTATTAAGTTTTTGCTCATACAACTACTGTCCTGGCTCCCCATCACCCATTTAATTACATACAAACTCATTCAATGCTGTTGCTTAACCTGGCTCCAAGTCTGATGCTTCAGAGTTACTTCTGACTTCACCTATGTTGTTAATCCTATATTCAGTAACAGATGAGACCACTATCTTACAGTATCCCCAGATACTCTGCCTTGGTTTAGGGATCCCCTCCATGTGGCAGTCTTCTCTAGCCTGAAGGTCACCATTTCAGTCCATTCAAGTCCTACTGTTTATCCAGATCCAGATCAAACACCACCTCCCCTGTGAATTCTTCACTGAGTGATCCAGTGAGATGTGACTTCTGCCTCTCCAAGAGATTGGAGACCCACTGTTCATAGTTTGCAAAGCTCATAACAGTTGCTCTTGTTCCATGTTATTTGTGTAAGTGGATCCCCTTCCTCTCATCCCATAATCTTCAGGGCAGATATGCTGTCTTATTTGCCAGATGTGGTTTTCAGTGTCTGTCACACTGTTTTGTCCAAAAGAGGTCTTTATAGCTGATAGTGTTAAAATCATGAAGGGCAGTGAGACAACCTAGAGTTCAAATCTTCCATTGTTTAAATTCCAAACCCACAATATTTTTCCTTGTTGGATAGAAGTTAATAATGATAAGAATGTTACTAGAGATTTCTGTCTCGGTCAAAAGAACTGAAGAGAAGAAACAAAGTGACACTTGGTGTTTCTCTATAAATTCATTAGCCCATAGGCACTCTGCAGCCACATGGAGACTGTCGAAAGGATTTGGATGTTTTATGTCCATTTCCTCTCCCATCTAAGTTCCTGATGCTCTCATTTTATTAATTTACTTTGTGTGGAGGATATTTTGTTTTCAGTAGGGACTGAACAATGTTGGGGTGGGCGATGGGGACATTTGAGAGGAGATAAGGGAGTGATGCCAAGAGGAAATTGTGGTTTGGCATTAATCAAAGAAAAACAATGAGGACAGCAGACTTTCCTGTCTCTGCCTCCAAGCCACAATGGACAAATTTCACAGCCACACACCTTCATCTCATAGAAAAGTCGCTGCTTTGATAAGCACCAGGGACAATGTACTACAGGCTGTCCAGAGGGAATAGAAATGGTGTTATTTATTCCAGCAGCTCTTTGTGGACTAAATGTTACAGCTATCTGATTAAGGGCATTTAATTTGTTGCAAATGCAATGGTGAAATTGAATAGCCAAAGCTTTCATTGATTTACAGTCATGTTGAAAGCTCAAGTTTTTTTTTATGTAGAATATAGTTTCCATTTTATTTAATTTACCACAGAGTATCTTCTCATGGTTTATGCTAATCTTCTTCAGATAAACACAAGCAACCCCGAATCCTGAGAATCTCTTCAGTGTGACTCATGCCAGTCAGAATGGTCTGGAACAAAAGTTATAGTTCTCTTAGCTTTGCTCTTTTCCTTGGGACATGAGCAGATTCACATCCTCAGAGTTGGCAGGTAAAATTTTGAGCAAGAAAAAATAACAGGACACCATATTAGGGTTGATGTGGTATTTGTCCCACACAAGGATAGAACACTAATCAATTTTTTTTTTTTTTGGTCAGTGTCAGCAACTTTTGTATTTCGATATTTATCCTCAGCTTTCGGTCCTATCATTAAATACATAAGATTATGTGAAATTCTTCCCCTATATGATGGCTGTTAACATATTCTTAGGGTCTTCACAAGGATTGCCTTTGGCAGTTATTATGGCAAAAGTGTTATGCTAGGCATCTTACCGCACAAAGTGACTTAGCCACTGCAAAGCAATGACATTGTCTTGATGTCTCTAAATTCAGTTAATAAATAAATATAGAAAACATTTACTACATGAACCATCTAGAATTGATAGAATGTTGTTTATTATGCTGGCAGAATTAATTGAGAATTTATGACTTGCTGGGCATCATGCTAAGCACTCTATATTCATTAACTTATCCATTTTTATCTGATATACATACAGTTAGCATTCTCATTTTACAGATGGGAAAACTGATCCAACAAGAGTTGAGGCAACTCACCCAGGGTCACCAGTGAATGACTGGTGAATCCCAGATTGGAATGTGGGTGCCTCTGAATTGGAAGATTTAATGTGTAACTAGAAGTTACCAGCTCTTACGGACTCCTGGTCATCACCTAACCCTAACCCTAACCCTAAGTCCAGAGGTGACTCAGGAAGAAAGCGGGACAATAAGAATGCTTGGGAAACTGTGCAAGTTTAGAGGAGAAAGAAGAGGAACCAAGATTTGTGAATGGAGAAACTAAATGAGGAAGGCAAGAGAAGTGGGTAGAAGAGGGAGAGAAAAGTTTGGGAGAAGACACAGTGTGAGGAGGAATGTACTGGAGGAAGCAAGTCAGGGCACTCTTGGGAACAACCCTCCCCAGGCTACCTACTTGAGGAAGAAAACTGAGTTTGTGTGGTTTTAGGGAAATTCCTGAACCCAGGATTTTAGCTTAAATAGGTTGCTCCTAAAACAACCAGAACTTTGCAGTTCTCAGATACGGCTAGCACTGGCTAGCACTTTTAGCTGACTGACCTAGATGGGTAATAGTAGAATTCCAGATAGAAGCCAGACTTACAGATGAGTGAGTGTCTTCCATAGCTACTCCATGTGCAGATACTTCATGCAGGGACAGAATCTAGAGTCAGCACCTGTATTTGTTGATTCAATTGAAAATGTGTATTAAGGATCTATGTAAAAGCACAGTATTAAAGACTGAAGAGGATGCCGTGTAAAATACAGTTCTAAATTTCAAGTGATGTGTGTATGTAGGAGCAGGGACACTAACATAAGGCACGTGTGCAGTTGCTATAATACAAAGTATAATCAACAGAAGCATCTTAAAGGAGATGCCCCAAACTCCAAATACTGTAACTATTCCAAAAACGTAGGGAAGTTCCGTCAGTTGGAGGACTAGGGACTAGGACCTTGGAAGTAGTATTTAAGGAGAGCCTTGAAGATTAAATAGGAGTTTTGCAGGTGATTAAGGTAGGATACATATTGTATTTCAGAGAACTGAGTTATTTTAAGGTATATCTACCCATCAACTCTGAGCAGCCTTTTACTAATATGAGTTTTTCTTTTTCTTTTCCAAAAAGTGAAGAATTGGATAATATCATCAAAATGAACAAAAGCTTGAATAGGTAAGTCTTAAAAATTAAGACTTTATTTATTCTCAGCCTTCAATCCTATCATTGGATGCAAAGTGTCTTTGATTTTCATACTCCATATGCTTCATATAAATAACCACTTTTTTTACTGAAATATTAATATGCTCTATATACACAGAGTTTGGTTTGATTGTTGAATGCTTTTAGCTTAACCATTTCAAAACCCATAATATCCTAGTTACCGTTATCTCTTTATCTTGGATCATTTATAATTGTAAAACTTAAATTATGTTGAAAGAAAAATTTACGATGGAGGCAGAAAGGGTGTATTTCATTTTAGTTCTCTCTCTGTTACTTTGTATGCTAACAAACTAAGTCAGCAGGGACCAAAGAAAAGGAGAAAATTTTTTAAAAAGTCAAATGAATGAATCAGTCAGAGGATTGTGAGATAAGATTTTCGTATCAGGCTCTAGACAGTAATGATCTATTGACAAGTCACTGAAATTTGCCACTTTTCAGTTTTCTCATTTACAAAGAGAGGAAGTTTCAGACAGGCAGCTGCCAGAGGTGACTGGCTGTATGATACAGGTAGTGGTGGAACCAAGTCAAAAATGGTGAATGTCTTGTTAAAAGCACCAGTTTGACTTCTCAGTTTCAGCTAAGGGTTACCACAGGCAATTTGGGTCCACTCTTGCAGGACATTTTCAGGAGATTCTGAAAATTTAGGATTATGACCATCCCTGTAAACACTAGCTGACATTAAAAGGAAAATACTTGGGCTGGGGCTGTAGCACAGTGGCAAAGTACTTGCCTAGCACGTGTGAGGCACTGGGTTTGATCCTCAGCACTGCATAAAAGTTAACAAATAGTCCATCTACAACTACAAAAAAATTTTTTAAAAAGAAAATACTTCATATATCCAAGCAACGCATTCATGAACCTATTGTGGCTGGCAGACCCCCAGTGTATGTCTTTTAATTCATCTTCTCGAAGCTTCACTACAATTTAATTTTGAGTGAAAATACCTGTTTGGAATAAAGCAATTTAAAGAATTGTGGTTCATCTTTTCCAACCAGCTTCTATTTCCTATTTTAACTGATCTATGTTTATATTTTAAAGTTAAGCATTCATCATTATTACTGCTGAGATTTTTTTTACATCAATATGTTTAAAGGAATCAAGGTCTTGATGGTCTCTTCAGAGCAACCCCAAAGGCTGAGCAAACAGAGAAAAGGTAAGCGCATCTGTCTCTGATCCGAAAATCTTATCTCCCAGACTGCTTGTCTTACTCCTCACATGTTATCTGGAAGGGAGTTGATCCTCTAACATGGAAATGCATGAGCAGATGGGCTAGTGCTCTCTGCATTGTACATTGAGTTCAGATACAATTGCCCGGAAGGATTTTTACTCTTCCATTCAATGGGAGTGAATGAGCAATTCATGGAGAATGTTTATTGTATTTGACCTTTCAAGATACCACACAATTTAATTTCAGAGTGCAGTTTTTATTTGAGTTTCTCTGTATTTATAGAGCCAAAAGTCTTGAGAGTCTCATCTATGTGAATACTTTGATGGACAAAGGTGGCAAAGGGTAAGATTTGATCAAGACAGGCTGCTTTGGTTGGGTCCTAGTATGTCTACTATTTTCTGGGGGAGACCTCTTGCTCAGGGCAAGGGTCAGGCGGGCTGGAGGAACAGGCCCTAGATCACAATCAGGAGAGGGTGGGAGTCTCAGTGCTGGCTTTGCCTGCAGAATCAATGTGGGTGACTATGGGCACCTCTGTTTCTTCAACCCATAAACTAGGGGCTATGACCTGGCTGATCTCCAAGTTCCCTTTGATTCTAAAAGTGAAAGAAACTAGAAAACCATTGCATTGTTTATGAATTAAATACAGTTACTATAAGACTGTTTCTGGGGGTATAGCTGTTCAATGTTGAAGTCTTTAAAACGTGGATTCCAGCTGTACCAAGTTGGAATCTTAGTAGCTCTTCAAATGTATATGTATATAGATGTATTTGTAAATAACTTAAGGCCCAAAGCCATGCTTTTATTTATTTTGTATCGCAAAATGGGTTAATGCATGATCAGTAGCTAAACTAGCAGCATTTGAGAGATTAATATACTGGTCTACTATAAAATTAACTTTAATTATTAACATCCTTTTTTCATGTTGGAAGAAACCAAAGTCTTGACAGTTTCATTAAAGAAAATCCCAGAGCAGTCAAGAATGACAAAGGGTAAGGATTTATGAGGTTTCTACTATTTTTCCCCCAAATTGGTTGTTTCCTTTGTATTTGGTTAGTCATCTTTATTTGCCTTCCTAACATGATAATCATTTCTATTGTCACAGTTATTTTTAAAAACCATTTATCTGTGCCAATCTGTGTATAGAATGGTATTCTAACTTTCCAAGTCAATCTTGGCAGCTATGTTCTCAATTCTTTCTGATACTGAACTCTGAACAGAGTCCGTATGATGGAAAGTGTTGGCGGTAACAAGCACACAGACACAGGATGCTTGATAAAAACATTTTTCACGTAAATGTGCCAACTCATCCCAGGTGATTTTTAAATGGAGACTAGATGAAGATGGAAAAAGTCAATTCTCTTTGAGGGGTTTTATGAGTTTTATAGGAAGAGATAAAGTTTTTAGATATTTAAAAACAGAGTTTGGAAAATTCCACAAAACTGGTGGTAAATGGGAAGAAAAATAGGAAGAACATCTCAGGAGGATCATTTTTGGTGATATGAAAGTGAAAGAAGTGTTTGTAACTAGAATAACTTGATAGCAACTAAATTTTAATGCAGGAATAAAGATCTTGTCAGCATAGGAAAAAAAGAGTCCAAGAGTCCTAGTTCTTTTTCCTTCTTCCCCACATCTTTCTTTCTTTGGAGGGGTGCTTAACCACCCAGCCACACCCCCAGCCCTTTTTTTAAAAAAATTTTATTTTTAAGACAGGGTCTTTCTAAATTGCTTTAGGCCTTGATAAGTTGCTGAGGCTGGTCTCAAAGTGATGATCCTCCTGTCTTAGCCTCCTGAGCTGCTGGGATGACAGGCCTTTGTCACTGCACCTTCTTTCTAATAGTGAAAGAACTTGCAATGTTAATAGTCTTACCACAGTGAAATCAGACAGAAGGAAATGGCAGTTTAACAACTGGGGAATTTGAAGGATCAGCTTTCATATTCTCTAATGAATTTTAGTCTTTAATGGATGAAAGTTTTATTCCATGTGCCAGTTTACACAAAGTATACCGGAGCCATAATAGTGTTATTTCAACTTTTCAAGGGAACTTCAGACCTTTAAATACACCCTTAAACTTTTTAGAAGAAATTACTTGACTAAATCCTCCAAGTATTTAGATTTAAAATGTTGACCAATTGATTTTCACTCTGTTATGAATGATTTTTATACTTAAATAAGTCAACATCTTGCTGTATAGACTGAAGTTCACCTCCCTCCAAACCTCTCTCCAAGAAGCAAAACCTGAGACGTGGGAAGGACTTTAACTTTGAAGTTGATTCAGTTGTATCTGAGTAATGGTTGGACTCTTATATCAAGATATCTTGAGCATTTTGCATCATGAGCAGAGCCATTTGAATTAAATATTTCTAAGAACTTCTAGTTCTTTTTTTTTTTTTTTGGTATCAGGGATTGAACTCAGGGGCATTCAACCACTGAGCCACATGCCCAGCCCTATTTTTATTTAGAGAAAGGGTCTCACTAAGTTGCTTAGTACCTCGTTGTTGCTGAGGCTGGCTTTGAACTTATGATCCTCCTGTCTCAGTCTCCCAAGCTGCTGGGATTACAGGCATGTGCCACCACATCTGGCCAAGAACTTCTAATTCTTTAGGCACCAATTATGTCTTAGTCTTGTGCAAAGTCTGCTGCTGTCATATGAGATTCTGAACAGAGCACAGAGCTGCCCTCTTTCTGTCTCTTGCTCTGCCTTTTCTTTTCTCCTAGTGTTAAAAAGAAACCAAGGCTTGGGAAGTGTTAATAAAGTTAATCAAAGGACTGACAAATATGAGAAAGTGTAAGTAGCATTCCCACCTTGAGGTGGCTCTTTTTTTCAGGTCTTACACCTCATTACACACAGGAGAGTTATGCTGTCCTTTGCCACAGACAAACTATTTAGAGACACCAGGGAGGAGTATGAGGAGGGCAGTTTCCACAGACCACGTGTTTGAGTTGCATTGAAGTAGGTGCAGGAAAACCTGCTGCATAATCTCTTATTTTGTGTTTTCTTAAATAATTTAAAAAAATGAACCAGTTTTTAAATGTAAATTTAGAAATATAAAGGATAAGTTGTAAAGTGAGAGTCATGTTGGGAAGCTTCTCTAAACTGATTTAAACTGGTGTAAATCAAGCACTATTGTGGATATTTAAAGATAAGCTAAGGATAAGTATCAAAGGTCTTTCTGGTCATCTGGTCCTAAAAACACCGGATGCTGCATTCAACATTCTTATTTATACAATTTCACAGAAAACTGTATTTCACCTGACTTAAAGTTTTTTTTTTTTCCCCAAAGAAGCCGAGATCTTCAATCTATTATCAAATCAAATGCCAAGACAGAGAAAACCAGCAAAGGGTGAGAACTGTGTCTCTGAGTCTTGGTTGTTTATTCCCAGATTCATTGGTGGTCTTCTCAGTGATGTTGAGAGTATCTGTTGCATCTCTGCGTTTGTCTTCTCTCTCCTGACTCATCTCTGGTGCCCTGATCTTCACTTTGAAAAGTCTATAAGATATTCTATGTAAATTCACATTTACACAGAACTCAGAAAATCCTAGGGATTAACTATACTATTGTTAGGCAATTCTTATACCAAAAAATCAATTTAATATCAGTGTAATAATTTTCTCCCCAAACGTGAATAGACCATCAATAATATGGAATTCATATGTGCACCTATACTGTGGGAATATTTGAAAGTGACCTAAATGTTTCTTTTTTAAAGAGATGAAGATTTCGAGAATATAATCAAAGTCAATCCCAAAGGAAAGGAAAATGTATCTGGGTAAGACTTATTGATGTATTTAACTTTGATTTCTGTAAGAGATGATCAAAATAATTTGATTTTTTAGCTTCATGATAGAGATGGGTCATGACCATCCCTTCTTGACCTCTCCCCACACAGAAAACCGCTATTTTTGAAGAATGTTCCAGAGTGTTCCACAGTTCGATAGCAAGTTGCCTTTTCTCCCTGTTTGGGGGTGTTGATTTATTTTTAGTGATAGAAAACTGAGTTGCATTTCTTTTTCTAAAGAATGCAGTCTTGACGAAATTTTCGAAGTAGGTTTCCAAAATGACAAAGATAACCAAGAGAAAGTCTTGGTTAAAATGCTCATAATTCACCTTCTCTCTGGAGAAGGCAGCTGGGGAGAGTCTGGGAGTCCTTACTTTGCACAGGGATAAGGGCTCACCACCACTGTCTGCTGTTTGGAGCGGTCAGTGTGGCAGCCATACCCGTCACAATGCTCCTGTTATCCCCAGCATGTTAACAGTCCCACCACAGAGAAATCAGACAGAAAACATGGCATTTTAACAACTGGGGAATTTGAAGGACCAGCTTTTATATTCTCTAATAATTTTCAGTCTTTGATGTATGAAGGTTTTATTTCATGTGCCAATTTGAACCCCTTTGGGTAGCACTTATTTTTATTTTTTATTTTTACTTTTTGGTACCACTTAATGCATTTTAATGGAGGAGTGTGTGTTCCCTTGGAAGTGAATCATATGGTTTTTGCTCTATGAGGTATTTTCTTTTTCTTTTTTTATTACTCACCATAATTTACTTTGAGGCAAATTATATTTTAAAAGGTTTGGACCGGGGCAATGATTAAGTTTATATGAAGGCATGTTTTGTTATGATTATTATTTTTATATTGTTAAAATATTATTTATGTGAACATTTTACTATTATTTAAAAACAGAACAGGCAGTTATATTGAATTTCTTGAGTAAAAATTTATGTTTGGTATGAATCAGTAAAGAATTTCATCAGTAAAGGTCTGAATCAGTAAAGAATTTTTAAGCTGGGTGTGGTGGTGCACACCTGTAATCCCAGCTACTCTAGAGGCTGAGACAGAGGATTGTAAGTTGGAGGACAGCCCAGGAAACTTAGCAAGACCCTGCCTCAAAAAATAAAAAGGGATGGGGATGTAGCTCAGTGGTAGAACATCACTGAGTTTAATTGCCCCAATACCACAGGGAAAAAAATAATCTAACTTTCATTACTTCAGTGCTGCCTATTTTGAGAGTTCTCAGAAGATATATCTGAGAGCAAAGTTGATTTTGTTTAATTACAAGTTTCATATACTTAGGAATTCTGGAAGCAAATATATATTAACAAATAAATATTGTTTCTTACTAATAAATAACCTTAAATGTTATTCGGTAAGAGAATTTCCATTTTCTTTTAGAGCTTCAAATGTTTACATTGTCATAGAGAACGTTTATATTTAGCACTTCTTAATTTTTCCAACTATTATTCACTTGATTACTGTTTTATTTTATTTTATGTCATTCATTAAAACTCATTTTCTTTTTCAAAGAAAACAAGACTTCAATGGGCTTATTAAAGTGAATCCTGAAACAAATAAAAACATCAAGAGGTAAGACATTTAGAACCCTCCTCCCCCTTTTATGTGGCATTTATAAGCATTATGTTAGAATTCTGAGTGCTTGTATTCAGAACAGTATTTGAAGTCATTTGTGTGTATAAGTGCTTATATGCATATAAATGTGTGTAAGTAAAAGTGTATGAATGTGTATGTGCAAGTAATATGTGTACCTGTATGTGTGCATGTGTGTATATATCAGTAGTGTGTGTACATGCACATGTGTTGTAAGTTGTGTGTATGTATAAATGTATGTGTGTGTATGGGTAAGTAATGTATATGTGTGAACTATTGTGGTATCTTTGTCTATAGTGTGTGTATGTGTATGCAGTGTGGTGTATATGTGAAGATTGCAAGCTTAGAGCATGCTTGATTAAAAGAGTTCTTCTACTCATGAAATATCAAGTAAGTCTACAGAGATAATGTCCTCTTGCTTATTATTCTTTTTAAAGCAGATGGAATATTTTTGAAACTGGGCTTGTTGGCATATTGTTGAAAACAGTGTGCTAAGTAATTCCATGTGGTTTCCCTTGAACTCTTTCCATTCAGTTAACAGTACATGATATTATTTGTTAATTCTAAAATGTGTCATCAATGCCCGTAGGCTCCACTGGCAGAGCAAGGGCTCAGCTAGCTAAAAACTGGGGTGCACACTCTCAAGCTGTCCTGCTCTTGGCCATTTGGTGTAGCCAGAGGCACAATCTCACCATCAACAGGACGAGGACAAAACGTGGATTACCTAGGCGACGTGGAAGGTTCAGGATGATAATATGCACTGAATTTGGGAACCAGAAAGAACTGGGTTCAAATTCTCTCTCTTGCAAACTGTGTTTCTGCACCTCAATTTATTCATCTACCAAAGATGGATCAGATCACAATACTCTCATGCCTGGCACATAAGAGATACAAGTTGTTACAATAATAAAGATTCAGGTGAATTGTATTGTCTTATTGATTTAGATGGTGTTCAAATATTTAGTTTACCTTGACTTTTGAGAAAAATCTGTTTTCCTTTCCAATTTTTTTTAATCTTTCAAATGGTGACCTATATTTCTTAATATATTGGAGTGTGTATGTATATACATGCCTATGTGTGCACATGTGCATATACACATACAAATGTTTGTGGGCATGTGTGCATTCACATACATGTATGTGTATGCCTGTGTGCATATGGGAGCATGCATACACACAAATGTGTGTATGCTATACACGTGTGTAATTGTATACCTATAGACATGCTTTTGTATTCATGAGTATAAGTAAGTATAAGTGTGCTTTTGTGTGTATATGAGTGCATATGTAATGGATGCATGTGTACTTGCATGTGTGAACTTATGTGCAGTGTGTGAATCTATATTTTTATGTATGTGCTTTCCTGGGCTATTAGGATAGTAGTTGTTAATTTCTTTTGCTATACATAAAGAAGTTCTGTAGATCTTTAAAAAATAAAGTCAGATCATGTTTCTTTCCCTTTAAAAAAAATGTTTTGACATTTTCAGATAGAATTGAATTCTAATGTTTAGCAATGGTCTTTTTCTTTCTTGGTAAAGCCCTGCCAGATGGATCTCTCCTATTCCAGGCTCATTCCTGCCTTAAGGCTTGGCAGGTGCTGCTCCTGCTTCCCGAAATGCTCTATGCCCACACTGTCACCTTTTCAGGTCATTTCCTACCACTGAATATAATTAAGTCACCTCCCTTCCCCCTGTCCCCAGCGCCACAGGCACCAGGCACTCTTTTTTTTTTTTAATAGCACATATTGTTATCTGAAATTGCAGCATTCATTTATATACTCAATTGTCTATTTCCTGCCTCTCCCCAAGTTGGAACAGAAGCCTGGTGTGAGCCGGCCATGCGTCTGTTGTGCTCACATCCACCCTAACACTTGAGGCAGAGCCTAGCCCATAGTCCACTGGGCTTTCCAACCTGGGTCCTGAAAGAATGCCTAACTACGGAAGATGTGTACACTGTGAGGCACTGCTTCACAGAGTTAAGTCCTAATATTATGTACACTATTATATCAATTAGGTTATACATTAATTAGTTCACTTTTTTGATTGATTTGATTTGGTTTTATGAACTAAGAAATTTAAACAACCTTATACTTATACGGTTATGTGCCTGATTGAGTGTTTAAAGACATCAAAGTCCTGGCAATATGATGAAAACAGATTCCATAAACAACAAAGGAAGGAATTACAATATTTAACTGCTTGCTTGCTTTTTTTTTTTTTTTTTTTGAATACTCAGATCTGGAAAGAGAAACATGGGGATTGTTTTCTCAGTCCCTGACAATCAAATCCCATATACTTCATTTAGGCAAAAGTCAACAAGGAGTAATCTGGAGTTGAGTGGTTGTTTCTGTGAGGTTAATTGTTTCATTCTCTGCTTGAAAAGGTTCACGTTTTTTTTGTTCTTGTTTGATCCTCAGACATCTTTATACATGCAAAAAAACTTGGATCAACATCTGGTTGCTTCCAAATATCCATATTCACATCTTTTTTCAAATATTCATATCTTTGATGTTGTGTAGACGAAACCTCAGACTGTTTTGGAAGGGCTCTTAGTAGGGTCCAAAGTGTGGAGAAACGGTGTGAGATACCCTCCTGCTGATGTTCTTATCCCCACACGGTGCCCGCTGGAGATCAGACAGGCATTTGTTGGCACTGTGTATGTGGAAAACACATACAGAAGCAACAAGAAAAGCAGAATTCCATTAAGATCAAAAGTAGACATATATCAAAGGGTAACCATGAAATACCAAAGTGATTTTTGGTGATTTTGTACAGTCAATATGTCTTACACCTCAGAATTCTATAGATTTTAATCTTCTTATTGTCCGTTGCCAAAATGATAGGTCAAAATGGGTCGTTCTAACACAGAGTTGTAAGTATCAGAAACACACATCAGTTTACGTATTGTGCATTTTAGCATATCAGTGTATTTGCTTAACATACTTTTGTGACAGACAGTCACAAAGCATGGACTCTTCAAAGCTGGCTTTAAAGTTCCATACATGTTGGAGGTTGATATTAAGAGAGTATGCCTTCTGGAATTTTCCTTAAGATAAGTGCATAGACTGACATAAAACATATTATGTGTACATGCCAAAGACTAACAGCAGAGTATTAAATACCCTGAAATAGAGTCTGTTATTTTTCTGTGTTAAGCACTTTTTTTTTCTTGATGCAAAATTTGCTAGGGATCAAATGTCTCCAAGACTGAAATGCTGTCTTGCTGAGTCCCAGTAAGTTTCAGAGAGGTAGACACGCTCCAAGCATGCATAGTCACCTCTAATTGTTTTCAACTCTGACATGATGTTAGTGCGCACTTATACTGTTTCTGAGATTCGATGAATGATTTCATTCATTTGTGAAAAACTACCATTAACCTCATCATTTCTTCAATGTTTTAAAGGGGCCAGAGTCTTGAAAATCTGATCAAAGTGACCCCTGAAGCAAACAGAAGGAACCAAAAGTGAGGATTATGTTTTATCTCTCTTCCTCTCCCTCCTCATCAATTCGTGTCAGAGGATGAGTTGAAAAGCCTTTGGATCAGAATCAGAAAGTCCAAACCTTATTACTTACTAGCTGGGTGTCTTTGAGCAAGTCCCTTGAATACTGAATTACAGCTTTTACTTTCTTCTTTCTTTCTTTTCTTTTTCTGGAACTAGAGAACCTAGAAATGCTTTACCATTGAGCTTTATCCCCAGCCATTTTTATTTTATTTGATTTAATTTTTGACAGCTCTCACTAAGTTGCTGAGGCTGGCCTCAAACTTGCCATCCTCCTGCCTGAGCCTCCCAAGTCACTGGGATTACAGGTGTGCACTACAGTGTCCAGTTTGAGTCATAGTTTCTTTCTTTTTTTTTTTTTTTTAAAGAACATGTGTTGTCATTCCTCTGCCCAGCATTGTTCCCCATTTTTTTTTTAAGAGAGAGTGAGAGAGGAGAGAGAGAGAGACAGAGAGAATTTTTAATATTTAATTTTTAGTTCTCGGCGGACACAACATCTTTGTTGGTATGTGGTGCTAAGGATCGAACCCGGGCCGCACGCATGCCAGGCGAGCGCGCTACCGCTTGAGCCACATCCCCAGCCCCAGAGTCATAGTTTCTTTTCCAGATTGAGGCCCATAATATTCATTCTGCTTTTGGCACTGGATAGTTGTTAAGAATCAAGTGTAATAATGGATATAAAATACCTTTAAAACAAAAAGGTACTACAGGTGAATTTTACCAACAAAACAATTTGGTTATAGCGATAACATTAGGTGAAATGCTTATAGAAACTGGGCAAGAGTTTTAGGCAAATCGTTACATTGTGCTTGAATCAATTATTTTTTAGAAAACCCAATCTTGTTCTGATTTTATAGTTTTATTTTGACTATAAAAATGCAAAACCAAGCCAGTATATCAGTGATTTGTATGAAGCTCAAAATGTTTACTCTTTTAAAGGGAAAAACTAGTATTGATATCTGTTAAAACTGTAGTAAAATTCATCTTGGACACATATATTGCTTTAATCAAAAGAGTCAATGAATTTAATTCCATTTTTTATTTATGGTGTGTGTGTTTGTCTGTTTAAAGTTCCAAAGACCTTAATAACCTCGTCAGAGTAAGTCCATCAACAGGAAGAGGCATGCAAGGGTAAGATTTAATAAGCTCCTCTTTTTCATTTCCTCATAACCAAAGCTTAAAAGTACAATTAAGTCATCCTTTTGGCTGACTGATGCTGAATCCATGATTGTCAAGAAAACTTGTAACACTGACTTCCTCAGATTTGAAAAGTTTAAGATCTTAGCCAATCGATTGCTGATACAATGAAGGTACATTTGGTCAACGAGGCCCACAGTGGTTTTCCCAGGATGGAGATGACATTTTTATTGGTTGGATTGATTTCCCCAAGCAGAAGGGATGGCACAGTAGCTGGGAAAGAGAACTAGGCTGGAATCGTTAGATAGAGGTCAGTCTTGGCTCTGGCCCTTGAACTTGTGTGGTCTGGAGCTAGTCACTTCTGTGTGTGCTTCAGTTTTCTCATCCTCAAAATAAGGAAATAGGGCTGGCTGCTTTCTAGATACTTCCACCACTCCTTCAGGTACTAAGTTCCAATCGGGTGGTTGGTGTTGTGGTAAAGTCCAAGCATTCTGGAACTAGATCACCCAGCCATGTGAGAAGATACTGTGTCTCAAGTTTTTCTTCTACTGAACTATGATGTTAATACCTCCTGTGTCATAGGATCGGCGTGAGGGTTAAATTTCATAAATCATAGCAATCATATGAAGAGTGAAAAAAAATCCTAAGATACTAGTTATTATCCGTTATTCCTATGCAGATATTGATAGATGATTAATAGATATCACTAAAAAAACTTCAACCTTTTGAGATGGTCTCTGTTTTAATGACTATTTTATAACAAAAAGGTTTTCTCAGTTTCAAAAAAATATTTATGACGATTTGATGAATATCTACCACTGACCTGATCATTTCTCCCATGTTCTAAAGGGGCCAAAGTCTTGACAACCTCATCCAAGTGGCTCCTGAAACAAACAGGATCAAATCAGGGTAAGGTTTGTGAAAGTCTTCTATTTCACCCTGTTTTGTTTGTTGGTTTTTGTATCTAACTTTAAAAATAGGATGGAATGCACTGCCTCACCATAGAGACAATCAATGATGGGACCCCAGATAAGTATTTCCTCTGTCACCATCCCAGGGACTGGTGTGCAGGGCCTTGCTTGGGGGATCCCTGGCTGTGGGTTTTTGCAGGAAAGACAATTCTTTGAAATACCAGAGTGACCCTTCCAGTGTGGGATTTGTATTCCACCTTGGGGTTTTCTAAAAAGAAATGGGGATTCCCCATGGAAAGAAACATCATCCCCAAACAATTTTATGGGCTGGGGCTGTAGCTCAGTGGCAGAGCACTTGCCTAACATGAGTCAGGCACTGGGTTTGATCCTTAGCATCGCATAAAGATAAATAAATAAAATAAAGGTATGTTATCCATCTACAACTACAAAAAATATAAAAAAATAAGAACAATTTCCTAAAGCTAAGCAACCTAAAGAAAAGTCCTCAGGTGATAAAAGTTTCTCCTTCCTTCTTCGTCCACTGTTTATTCCTTCTTCTTATGGTTTACCACCCAAACTATCCTGAAGTTGAGAGATCATTTCTTAAAAATCATATTCAGTTCATCGAAATAATAAAGAATACAAAGATTGGTTTTCATATAAAGAGAATTTTCTCTAAGGCACAGCATGTTAAGAAAATAGACAACAAAACCATGAAGTTATATACCTATATTGTTATATAAGTTCGAGTATGAGTTAGACATGAAAGATACGGAGACCATACCTTCTTTCTGACAGATTTTCTCTTTCGCTTTACATATAGAAATGTTTTCTATTTTTATAGTAAATAGCCATCAAACAGAGCTTATTTTGACTAGATCAGATATCAGAAGCTTTGTGTAAAAAGGTTAGGTAGTCAATAGTTCAGTCTCTCCTTTAACTACGTAGTCAGCTCCACCAGTACTGTGAGAGCAGCCACAGAAAATATCTTGCAAATACAAGGACATGGCCATGTTCCTATAAAACGGCTGAAAAACCAGGCAGAATTTAGCTCGAGGGCCATAGTTTGCTGGCCCTTAGACTAGATATTGTTTTATTTAGAAGGGAGAGGAGGGTCAACTCTGAATGCATTTGAGGCCACTTGGAAAACATAGCTGGCTGTCCTATTGCATATATAGTTTCATTCATTTTATATGATTAAACTGATGATCTCGGAATGCTTAGTGCTCGACCATCTTCAGAGTTTGTGCACCCAAGAGGATATCAACTTTATGGTCAGACACTCAATCTGAAGACCAAAAAACAGTCTACATTACAGATGAAGGGAGTAGCTATTGTCTTTTGTCCCTTTCCCAGGATGACTTAGTTTCTAAAGGTGAAGGTGGTCTTTCCTAGAAGCTGCATGCTGACACTCATTGCATGGTTGTGTATTCATTTCTTCTACTTGACAGTGAGATTTTTGAGTACGGTTGCTAGTTGTGTAGTCATGAACAAATTGCTTAATCTTTCAGCTTCAGTTTCTTTATCGTAAAACCAGGAGTTAACCCTCATCAGGAGTTACTAGAAAGATTAAATGCGATCTTGCTTATAAAGTATTTCTTGCTCAAATACTTATTTATTAAATATTATCTATTAGTATTATTGGTGCTATTATTTTTCTTCATTTTTGAATCCCCATATCACCACTTGATTCTTAAAGAAGATACTGAAGAAATTATCCTGTTAAGTTAAAAATTACAAAAATACTGACATTCAACAATTTTTAACCCACAAATGATAATATAATATAGTTTAGCAATAATAGAATATAATAATTTATATCAGAGGATAGATACACAATAAAATGAGTTCATAGGTTAGTCCCAAAGATTAGTTAAATGATAAAGTCTTTCTGGTCTCTTTTTTGCTTTATGATATTTAATGCATTGTCTAATAATAAAGTATATCAAATAAGACTTTTTGTTCAGGCTATTTGTTGTTAGGGTTGGTGTGAGAGTCCAGTGTTATAACAGTATATCTTTAGAGCTATGATTGCCTCAATATTCAATAGTTTAAAATAAAAACATAAATTATATAGTCTGAAATCTTGCTTGTTATGCTTTGGCTACATGAAGTGTGATTCTAAAATGATTTATTTAATACCTTAGAGTAGCACAGAATTATATCATATGTGTATATACATACATATAAATAAAGACATACGTATTACTTACATAAGTTAGAATCAGGAAATCATGTTTTAAAAGTCTCAGTTGTTATTACTGGTTTGTGTTTTGGAAGAGGGAGGAAGCAAGGACCACTGAGTAATGATATAGTTTCATATTTTTCTGTTTCTCATTATAACCTCCAAAACTATTCTAAATGCTAATTCGACTACACAAATATAATATGGAAAGTAAGAAGTTTAAAAGAAATTCTGCTTTGTGTTAGACTTGACAGAAACATGAGTAAAATTAAATTCTCACATAGTCAATGGTGCTCATGAAGTAAATTGATAGAAGCTATGTTTTTTGGTGTGTTTTTTTACTCTTTTTAAAATATGTTATTATTTTATTTTATTTTTTACACAAATGGAACACAATTTTTCATTTATTGTTGTACATGATCTTGAGTCACACCATCTGTTCACTCATACCCATGCATAGAGCAATAATATTTGTCTCATTCCACCATCTTCTCTCCCAACATCCCCTCTCATTCCCTCCCTCCCTTCTGCCTAGTCCAAAGTTCCTCCATTTTCCCCTTGCCGCACCTCTCCCTTATCAGAGAAAACATTTGGCCTTTGTTTTGGGTGGATTGGCTTACTTCACTCAGCATCATGTTCTCCAATTTCATCCATTTACCTGTAAATGCCACAATTTCATTCTTCTTTAAGGCTGAGTAATATTCCATTGTATCTATATAGCACAGTTTCTTTATCCATCCATCTATTCTTCTAGAGAAGGGTAACTAGGTTGGTTCCATAGTTTAGTTATTGTGAATTGTGGTGCTAAAAACATTGAGGTTGCATCACTGTAGTATGCTGATTTTAAGTCCTTTGGGTAGACCAAGGAGTGAGATAGCTGGGTCAAATGGTGGTTCCATAAACTACATTTTTACAGGGGCTAAAAAGGGAATTCAAGAGATGATGGATTTTTAAGTTAACAGTAGTCATTGATTCAATACTAAGGTTAAAAAGTAAAAAAAACGATTGATTTTAGTTGACCTGAACTTATTTTTAGGAACCAAGATCTGGACAATCTTATCAAAGTGACCCCCTCAGCAAACAAAAGGTAAGCTTGTTAACATTAATTATTAAAGACTCCTGTACAATGTTTCAATTTATATTAAAAATAATGGAGAGAGAAAGAAAGATTATTGATTAAGGGCACTCTGAAAGGGTACATGAAAACAAAGAACACATGGATTCTTTTTTTTTTTTTTTTGTATTGAGGATTGAACCTAGGGGTGCTTAACCACTGAGCCACATCCCCAGCCCTTTTTGTTTTTTATTTAGAGACAGAGTCTCAGTAAGTTTCTTACTTGTGGAGGCTGCCTTTGAACTCAAAATTCTTATACCTCCACCTCCAGAGCCACTGGGATGACAGGCGGCTCCACTATGCCTGGTACATTGATGTCTTGATGTGTAATAATAGTAGATAAGTTTTTCTTTCATTATTAATCATCTTATTCATTATAATATTGTTTAAAATGATAATACCAAAGCCCATTTAGTATAATTACTACTTGAGCAATTCTTTTGATACAATGATAACACAAATAGATTATAAGTGTAAATTTAAACTAATATAAGTTCATAAAACACAATAAACCAAAGAATTTGGGCTTTCTACCCTATAATAGACCCAAGGAATTAATTTTTTTTTCTTTTTTTATTGGTTGTTCAAAACATTACAAAGCTCTTGACATATCATATTGCATACATTAGATTCAAGTGGGTTATGAATTCCCATTTTTACCCCAAATACAGATTGCAGAATCACATTGGTTACACATCCACATTTTTACATAAT